GCACAATAGAAAATGAAAGCTTTTTGTCACTGTAATAAAACACCCGAGACAATACAATGTCCAAGAGAAAGGCTTCGTTTTCGGCTCTCGCTTTTATTAGAGTTTGACCCCGTTCTGGTGAGCTGTGGGTTACGGCAGAGGAGCATGTTCCATAAAATCATCTGTGGGAGACCAGCTTCCGCCTTTTCCAGTGTTCCTATGAGGAGGAGAGAGGGAGAAGAAAATATTAGGTAGAAAGAGAGACCTAGTTGGCGAGAAGGAAGACAGAAGCACAGGATAGCTTCGGGAGGGCCTGCGTCAATACCCAGTGGCCCTTTCCATTTATTCAAAAGGACTTTTTATAACAACGCCAAGGGGCGGGGCAAAAGACCTCTCCCTTGCTAGATCAAAGCACACTGCACAGCCAAGTGTGGACCCTTCAAAGCACCTGGTAAACACGCCTGTGGTCAACTCATCCCATCATGCAGCCCTGCTGGGTAAAGCAAGCTCAGATTCTCTGACCCTGAGTAAGGTCTCACTAGGAAGTCTCTGTGGGTCTCTACAACCATCCATTTCATCAATAGGAGGAAGCCAAAAAGACAGTGTGAAAGAGGCCAGATTGCCACAGTCTCCTTCAAGGGTACTCTTTCAGTGACCTGACGGTCTCTCCTTAGGCCTCACCTCTTAGAGGCTCTGTCACCTGTCAGCAGCATCTCCTTGGAGCCTGAACCTTTAATGTGAGTCTGTTTCCTCACGACATCTTGCCCTGTCTTCTACACAGGGCTGCTGGGAAGCCCAAGTGATACATGGTCCCCAAATGTCCCTTTATTCACACAGACAGTTACCATTAGCATTTTGACTCACCATCATCACCAATTTGTGTGACTCTTTCTACGTATGACAGGTGACGGGTACCACGGACAAACTTTTCAAGGAGTGTGTCAGCCACTGTACCATACGACCTTGCTGTGACATTCGTGTCTGTGGAGCAGAACTTACTGTGACCCTCTCTAAGAAACGACATTAACTACTGGCGCCTTCCATGGAATCATTAGTAAGTGACTGATGCTGTGCTGTGGCGTTGTTCCAGCACACTGCCTCCCTTTTGTAGAAGGGTTCCCAAGGCCATTTCTCTGCAATTAGCTAATTGGTTAAGGACATGAATTTACTCCTGTAGACCAATTAATACTGATTTTAACTGTAATGGGAAACAAGCTGAAATCAGCCTAAGGCCATTTTCTGGACTAGATGTTCCGTCATCATCCTAGGACAAGGGCATGTAGACAGAGAATGTTGATCATCGTCTCATGGTTTGTGGGGTAGGGAGGGGTCTCAGTCATATCACTGCGAACTGAGCAAACTGAGAAACAATGTAGCATGGCGGCAAAGAGAAAGTTGTCACTCTGTTAGTGAGATGAGCTGACAACAGAAATGCCTGGATGGCCAGGGAACTGGGGCCCCATGTGGAACTCCATGAGGTGACCGTGAGCACTGACAGCACAGAGAGGTGGGCCTCAGGGTTCTGGTGGGTCAGCTTCTTCTCCAAGAGGCTGTTGGGTGGGTCAGTGGCTATCCCACACCTGAAACCAAGGGTGTTTCAGTTTTTCTTTTTTACTTAATTTATGTTTAAACAAAAAAAATCAATGGAGCAAAGAAATGGGAATGAGAGAGGCTTCCTGATTTATTAATATTACACATGGAAAAGTTGAGGACTGTAGTTGAGGGTTTTTTTCCATTTTTGGGGGGCCCACCACCCAGTTCCCAAACAATACACTGAGACTTACTCTTACTTATGAATGCCTGGCCTTAGCTTGGCTTGTTTCTAGACAGCTTTTCTAACTTAACTTATCCCATTTCTCTTTAACTATGTTTTGCCTCTGCACTTTTAACCTTTCTTTATTATATACATCTGTCTTTCCTTCTGTGGCTGGCTGGGTGGATGAGTGGCTGGGTGGCTGGGTAGCTGGCCCCTGGTGTCCTCCTCTCCTTCTTTTCTTGCTTCTCCCTCTTCTCTTCCCTCAAGCCTACATTTCTCCTCCTATTTATTCTGGCTGCCTGGCAGCCCTGCCTATTCTTTCTCCTCCCTGGCTATTGGCTGTTCAGCTCTTTATTAGACCATCAGATGTTATAGGCAGGCAAAGTAATAGGTTCATAGAGTTAAACAAATGCAACATAAAAGAATGTAACACATCTTTGCACCACTAAACAAATATTCCACAGTATAAACAATGGAACACATTTTAACTAATATTCTACAACAGAGGACAGGAGATTTTAATTGACAACAAGTTTAATATCAACCAGTCGGTGCCCTTGGGATTCTAGTACAGGGTCTAGATCATAGAACATTCTAAGATTCCTAAAATATTCTGGAGGATTAAAATCAGGAGCCACTAGTTCCTTAGCTCCAGAAGCCTGATATATCAGGAAGATTGAGAATTCAGTGAGGTGAAAAAAGTGTGAATTTGAAAAGCCCTCAGTGAAGAAGGAAGACATGTGTCTCCACGCAGTTCCAAAAGGAAGACAGAGCAGAGAGTGATGGGAGGAAGCTGTCTGGGAGCAGTTTTAATCCAATAGAAGGAAGAACATTCAAACACACACACACACACACACACACACACACACACACACACACACACACACTCATAAACAGTGAGACATACATTGGGTCATGTTACTTCTTGTCTAAAATTACTGAATGGCTCTGCAGTGAGTTCCTGGTGTGCAGCAGGCTTGTTTATACTTCTTCAGAGTGCCCATCCTGTGCCTGGTGCTCTCTCCTTTCTCCATCCATCAGCCTTCGCTCACCCTGAAGCTCTGTTTCCTGTTCCCTGGGAAAGACTTCCACCCGCAGGGAAGAGGCTCTTTTGTACCATGTCACCGCTCATGGTGCTCCTTGTCAGCTCTTATTAGAATCAATCCTCTGCTTTTTTTTTTTTTTTACCATGGATATATACCTAACATACATGCATTATATATAAAGAAATACATACAATTACAGCTACTTTTATGTGTTATGTTCTGTGACTTCGAATCCATTCACCACCACTATCCATCCCCAGAAGATACTTTCAACCTGCACCGACTTAATGTGTCCATTTTACAATAACACCCCGCTTCCTGCTCCCAGGCCTTGGCAACTACAGTCTATTCATTCTGATTCTGTTAATTTGACCATTCTAGATTATTATTTTTAACCCCTTGAGTGAGGGCAGGGAATGTGTTTCTACTCTCAATATTCAAAGCCTAGTGCAAGGTCTGGCACATGGTAAGCATTCACCATAGATTCCCCTGAAAAAAGGAGGAGGAAAGGCAGGAAAGAGGAGCCCATGGATCTCTGGAACTGGGAAAATTTTAGTAGAAGATGTGAAGAACCATCTCAGGGACTGATGGTTGAACACATTCCTGAACCAGGTTGGAAGATTGAACTGCAGCAGACTCTTCGGTGAGTATTGACAAAATGCTAGTAACTAGATGCCGAACCAGGCTTCCCAGTGATAGAATAGGGATCTTTATATTCTAAGAACTGGCAATTAAATAAAGGATATTTATTTAAAATCATAAAACCAAAAACAAGGAACAGTGAGGCTCTGCCGCGTTCTGGACCAAATTTCCATATCCAACTATAGTCACCTCTAACTTCATTACATGCTTAGTGTTTACCTTGATGGTTGGACTTAATTTTGACAAGACAGTGCTACAATGTTCAGAGAGTGCACAAAGAGAATTGAATTACTATCTTGTGGAAAACAACCAGGAGACTGGAATGAGGAACCACCCCGTGAGGTGACTCAGATGAACACTTCTTAGGAACTATTAAGCACACAATGGATGAAAGCCTGTCTGGGATGGCTTGCACTGAATTCTTCCCAAGTATCCAAATATGTAAGGACAAGATGAAAAAAAAAACATCCAACCCCCCCTTTCCAGGATGTTGTCATCAAAAGTTTTTATTTAAAATCAATAGCTCCTCAATTTGCAACTTTAATAATCAAGCTTTATACCTGTGACGAAAGAATGAAGTCAGGCTTGTAACTCTTCAGATGAGGGCAGAGGGAGAAAGGAACATGGAGGGACAGGGTGACCATGAAGGAATAGATCAGAACTGATTCTGGGTTAAAAGAGGACAAAACGAACCATTTGCTGTATTTTTAATTGCTTGCTGGTTTTTATTGTTTTATGGCTGGCCTGTTGAGAGTTGCTTGAGAGACTCGATCTGTCCTCAAATACATTTCTGCTATTGTGTACCTTGTAACACCCTGCCTGGAGATGGCCAATGAGAAACTGTTGGCAGGTGCTATCAAGGTTTATGGCTTCTGACCTTGGGTCGTTTGGTTTGAAGTCCACATTCGTCGTCACTGTTCTCTCTGTCCATATTGTCTTCATACCTACGTCATCGAGCACATGTATTTATTGCTGGCCTGTACTTTATCAAGAGCTTTGAACACAGGAGAAGTCTTTTATGTACTTTTGTTAAAAAAAGATTACTGGCTATGACTAGTTCTCAAAGGAGAGCAGTCAGAACACAAAGAGATAGACTGAAGGTACAGTTGGAGGGGGAAACAGTGGAATAAGATGTTGGAGCAGACAGAAGAGGACGAACAAATTCCTCCATTCATCGGAAGAGCGTGTTGGGACTAAGTTCCAGAAGGCTGCTGAAGAACAGTAACTTGAAAGCAATCCAAATTCATAATTCCTTTACTGTTTACATTTGTTCTTTTTTCTTATACATAAATTCTTATTGCTTATTGCATTTATTTATTATGTGTGTAGTGTGTGTGTGTGTGTGTGTGTGTGTGTGTGTGTGTGTGTGCCACCGAGCATGTGTAGGCCGGAGAACACCATGCAGGAGTATTTCTCTCCTTCCACCGTGTGGATCCTGGGGATTGAATATAGGTCATCAGGCTTGGGAGCAGGTGCCTTTATCTGCTGAGCCAATTCACTGGCCTTACATTTGTTTTTCTAACTAAAACGACATAATGAAATAAGAATTTAAGATAATTTTGTTGTTTCGCCCTCAGAATGCAGCTTTGAAGAAGGAAATGTGGTTACCTCACATCTTCGGAACCAAGACTCTCTCAAGGATCTGCTGAAGACAGGGATGCTTCATCTCCATTGTCGGCTTGATTGGATTTGGAGTTACTATGGAAACACACCCCTGTCCATGTCTATAAGGGTGTTTAACTACAGAAGAAAGACTCTTCCTTAATGTGATTGGCACCAGCCCAGGAGCCGGGGTCCCAGGCTGAATAAAAAGGAGAAAGAGAACACTAGCTAAGCTTTCTTTGCTTCCCAACATCATGGAAACAATGTGACCAGTGTTGGTAACAAAATCACAGGCAGAGAGGTAGAGTTCAGCCTAGCTCTGTTTTATGTATCCATTTGTACTTTATACAGAGTGCCACCAACAGTAGCTACTTAACTTCTCTTAGGATGCTGAGTGCTGACTGAGTTCAGCTGAGTGATTTCTGCTGTATGTACCCAATGATTTCTGCTGTATGTGCTCAGTGATTTCTGCTGTATGTACCCAATGATTTCTGCTGTATGTGCTCAGTGATTTCTGCTGTATGTGCTCAGTGATTTCTGCTGTATGTGCCCAGTGGTTTCTGCTGTATGTACCCAGTGATTTCTGCTGTATGTACCCAGTGATTTCTGCTGTATGTACCCAGTGATTTCTGCTGTATGTACCCAGTGATTTCTGCTGTATGTACCCAGTGATTTCTGCTGTATGTGCCAAGTGATTTCTGCTGTATGTGCCCAGTGATTTCTGCTGTATGTGCTGTCTTTAGACAAGTACAATGCCAGGTGCTGGCTGGAGCTTTAGTTTAAGCACCTCAGTTCTCCACAAGGGGGGGGGGCTCCATTTGGATGGGATTACCAGATAAAACAGAGGATTGTATTCTATTTCAATTTCAGGTGAAGAGATTTTAGTGTGCATAATTTTATTTGGAATTAAAACTCAATTAAACATTTCAAAGGAAACACCTGTTTTGAAAATACAGAAATCCAAGAAGAAGAAAAACTTAAAAACAGGAAGCTGCATCATTTGCAGAGTATCATCGCCAAAGCCCATTTTGTATGCTGTAAAATATATGCCATTTTTATGGAAATCCCATCAGTCATAGTTTTACAGCTTACTTTATTATTGCACAGATACATTGAGAAAGTTTTCTGATATGACGTGATACCACTTTAATGACTAAATCTTGGGCCCATCATTCAACAGAAAGTAATACTGCAACCTGTCAGCCTTCACCTGTTTTCTCAACGAGCGGAAATGACTGGCTAGAGCTCTGAGCAAACTGGAGAGGCACAGTCGAGAAAGCGACACTAAATCAAAGCTGTGCCATGACTTCTGTGGAGGGAGGCCCAGGATTTAGAGACAGCCTTCTGCTTGTGGTTTCAGCCTCGTTTAAGATTTTTCATGAACAGTAAAAACGAGCCGTGTGAATGCTCCTGTGCTCTGTCCTCCAGTGCGCTATCAGGAGCCTGGCCTGTGTTCACTCCATGCTTGCCGCCTAGCCAGGAACTTCCAAGTGGCCTCCTCCTTGGGGTAAGCGCCGGACATCTCTAAGCAGCTCTCCTGGATTCGGGGCTACCTTCTGCTAGGAATAAATGTTTGGAAACGAAAATGCAGCCTGCTCCTTCACTGGTCTATAAAAAAAAAGAACATGGAGTTATTTAATGCATAAAGAAAATACAGTGTAGGGCAGACCTAAAGAAATCAACTTCCCACGGACCACACCAGGCTCTAAGGAGTCAACATCCATGAGCTGTGTTAAAGGAGTGTTACAGGCTGGACCCAACCTGGAACCAGGATGGAGACCGTGATTGACTCGGGTCCTCGTAGTCCCAGGCTTCTCCTCACTGATGTATTAAGAGATTCTGTATAAGAACTGAAATGAGTTTCTTTTAGAAAATATGAAGCCAAATAGGACAGACCACACACAGTTTACAGACATGATGTTTAGGTGACACGGACTGAGGGTCTGTTAATTGTCCCTTAGTAGGACACAACACTTTAGTCCAGAGCTTTCTCTTCTGTTCTTTCAGCTCTGTTTTCTGAACTGTTTCACACACTCATACATTGTAGATGGGTCCGTGTGGGCTGGGGACATAGCTGCGAACTTGAGACTAATCACTTTCTCATACTGGACTCAGCAGATGGCTTTTGTAAGAATGACTCAGAGACCCCCAAGGGAAAATGGAAGAGGTATTACCAGACACGCCAACAATCATGTGACTTGTCCACTCTTTCTGCCAAGCCCTAAAATTGCAAGAGAACCCAAATCACTAAGCAACGAAGGTAACTATTTATCAAGTAAAGACCAGGGCAGAAAAGTCAAATCAGAAATGTTGATTTGGGACCCGCAAAATGGTTCAGCAAATAGGATGGTGGAAAGAGAGAACCAACCCACTCACTTCACATACACCGTGCGTGCGAGCGCGCGTGTGTGCACGCGCACACACACACACAATGCAATTAAAATGTTTTAAAGAAATGTGGATTTTTGTAATGGGCCTACACTTGGTTCGTGAGACGTGAAATCAAATGGAGTATAAACTGTTACAGTACTCTAACAACCACGAAAAGCTCTCTCTCTCTCTCTCTCTCTCTCTCTCTCTCTCTCTCTCTCTCACACACACACACACACACACACACACACACACACACACACACACACACGGATGGGCTATACCACCAAGTAAAACATCAGTTACCATATCTAAGCAGGGATCTACTTTTTTTTTTATCAAGCTTAAGAACATTGTTCTGATGAATGATTATTATTGGGGGGACAGTCAGGTGTTAGGTAAAGCATGGTCTGAGTTAATTCCCATTTTAATACCCAATATGCGTGAATATTTCACCTCATACATGATATATTCATATTCTCTCCCCCACACCTATCAGGTTCTCACTATATAACCCTGATTGGACTAGAATGCACTATGCAGACCAGGCTGGTCTTGAATTTACAGTGATCCTCCTGCCTCAGCCTCCCCATGCTGAGCCACCATTACTTAACTTACAACACACATCTTTATACATTTTCTTCAGGTTATACAAAAGAGCTGCGCATAGATTGCAATCATTCTATGATAACCATTGTAATTCAGTTTTGAGCTTTCATTTCGGCACAGGGTGTGAGTACCCGGATTAAGCAGAAACTATACTCACTCTGAGGAGCGACACCCAGCGCCACGTGCTCCTAATGTCCTGTGTCAAATGTTGGTAGAGGGGAAGATGGAGTTGTTCCAAGGCCGTGTGCAAGAAATTACGAAACAGTTCAATAGGCCTGATATGTCTAGCCATTAATTAAAACATCATTGTCTTTTTCGCCCTTAAATCATAGCTTTAACATATTTACCATGAGACAATATAAGTTCTGCCCAAAGGGAAATGTTATAGTCATTATCTCTTCCACATAAAATGTCCCCAGCTTGTGCTGACAGGTTCATGACTTTGTTCTGCTGTTTCATTCACCTGCGCCTGAGAAATACTTCGTTCAAACCGAAGTTCACGGCCCTCACTCCGGCTTACTTGTATCCATATTTGTGTGTTTGGAATTTTCGTGGCAAAATGTTGACATCATTATGAGAGAGGGTTTAGGGCCTGGAGACACAGCTAAGTGGTGGGGTGCTTGCTTTGTATGCACAAAGAAAAGAAGGGGAAGGGAATGGAAGGACAATGGAGGGAAGGGATGGGGAGGGGAAGGAGTGGGGGGAAGAGAACGGAAGGGGAAAGGAAGGGAAGGGAGGGGAGGGAACAGAAAGCAAAAATGAAATTGAACTAGATTCTTGTCTCAAAGTTTAGAATGTAAGAGGGTTAGGGCCAAATACGTAACGTTGTGGAGCCTGATTGGATTGTGGTTGTTGTTAAATTTGTAAAATGAGGATAATAACTAACTCATGGAGTCACTGGAAGGATCAAATAGGGAATTCTATGTTCTCTAGATCTCTGGTGTGCTTTCCCTTTGTCAGCTGCTCATATGGGCAACTCCCTTTCTGTATGAAGTAACACAGGCGCCCTAGACCTCAGAATTGATAGTTGTCTAGTCTCTAGTAGTACATGCAAAAAACTAGATGTATGTTTAATTGCATATATGCAACTAAAAATTAAACGCCACATAGATTCTAACAGTGGGCTCTGGAAAGACTACGTAATGGAGTCTAAAGTCTTCTTCCTCCAGAGAGCACCAAGAATGGAGTCGTTCTAATCACAGTAGTTATGGGCAGAATGGGCTTTATTTCTCCTTCTCTGTCTGAGCCTCATCCACAGATGAAGCGCACAGTGACATCATGCTGGGGCCATAATCAACTTCCTCATTTCCTTGGTGACAGCCTGAAGTCCTGGGAGAGGGCCTTTTTCAATTTGAAGTCTGTGAAAATGACAACCCACACTACATCACTGCAAAGTATCTTATCAGTGCACATGTCCCGAGACAGTGAGGAGCAATCAGAAGCCCCTAGAATGGAGGAGGCCGTAGGAAGGATGATGAGATCTCATCTTTTTGGTAAAGAAATCTGAGTTTGCTTCACAAGACAAGACTTGTGCTTTGAACTGATCTAATTGCACTGACGAACTCAAAGGTCCATTTTGTAAAGAGTTGAGCTCACATAAGGAAGACCTGCCATGTTTATCACACCTACTGCGTGCTGAGCCTTGTCGGGTGGATTCTCATATGGTGCTCACGCATTGCTGGGAAGTGGACACAATCCCTTTCATTTTGTAGCTGAGGTGATGGGAGCTCCTGCAGATGGTGTCCCTGGAGTCGGCTAGGGAACTAGGGAGGGGTGATACAAAGGAGACAAGAGCTGGGTGGGGTCTCTGAATCCAATGCCGTGACATTTTCATTACTGCTGAGATCGCAGCAGGGAGGGAATGGGGGAAGAAATCTTCACGAAATAGACTCACTTTGAAGCAAGTTCTTTTGTACCGGCTTGGGGTTGAATGGCACTAATACTAACATTTTATTAACACAACCAAAGAAAGCCGTGACTAAATTTTAATGAACCCTTTTATTATGGGACAAGGAGGGGGCATAAGGAAGCAAAAGGCAGTTAAATGTATTGAAGGAAGGGATTATTTGTCCCTATTTGTAAAACACCCAGCTTAATAACCTGAACAAAGCATATTACTGTCCTGTTATGCGATGTTTTCAAATTTGCCATTTTAGCTTTAATGTTATTTACTCACATATTATATTTTTCATTAATAGATATTGAACCTAGGGTCTTGCATGTGCTAGGTGAGTGCTCTGCCAGTGAGCTGTGCCCCCAGGTCCAATATTTTAAATTTAGAAAGTAATATTACAGACAGGAACTAGCGCTGGGTTGGAAGTTGAGGGTTTGAGTTTTAGCTTCAGAATTGCTGTAAAATCATCTCTAAAATTTACATCACATTGTCATTTCCTTTGGGAGGGGAATGGTTCGAGACAGGGTTTTTCCTGGAACTTGATCTGTAGACTAGGCTGGCCTCAAACTCAGAGATCTGCCTGCCTCTGCCTCCCAAGTGCTGGGACTAAAGGTGTGCACCACTGCTGCCTGGCACATTGTCACATTTAATTGAGTAGAATTATAGATACCTATGCAGTCCAGTTTCACTGTCCACTCACCTACCCCTCACCTACCATGTGTTCACTCATAGATTTATTCAACTTTTAATTCAATATACATTTAATGAGCACCAGCCAAGCTGTGACTGGAGACATGTCACAATTAACCTGGACTCCACTCCTGAGGACCCCACAGCAGAGGAGAAGACAGCCAGGAATACAAAACCATGCAGTAAGATATGGTAGGAGCTCTGTTGAAATGCTACCGATTGCGGTGCTCAGAAAGAGGTCGTGTATACTCAGTGGGAAGTGGGTACACACACACATACCTCCTTGACACAATGGCAAAGAGGTAAGGTGTACATCAAGAAATAAGTGGCAGTTGGGTTAAGTCTTGATAAAGTACGAGTCATTTTCCCCAGTGAATCTGAGGTGATGATGGTGAGTGTGCTTAAACACAGCTGATAAGGTACTGGAAAGCAACAATGTGTAATTAGATTTGGCTGAGACATGCAGCTGCATCTAGAGATGGAGGAGAGGCAAAGTTTTGCCGTGCGCAGGAGGTTCAACTGCATTTTGTAGGCATTAATAAGACTGTAAAAGCCAGAGGGGCAGGATGCCTGCTGTGAGATTGTGTCTTCTGTATATGACAGGGAAGCTGCACCCAAAATGGCCCCCAAAGGGAGTGGCTCTATTAGGAGGTGTGGCTTTGTAGGAGGAAGTGGATCACTGTGGGGGCGGGCTTTGAGGTCTCTTTTGCTCAAGCTTCCCTCAGTGTGACTGTCAGTTGACTTCCTGTTGCCTCTGAGTCAAGATGTAGCCCTCGCAGCTCCAGCACCATGTCTGCCTGCATGCTGCCATGTGCCTTGTCATGATGATAACGGACTGAACTTCTGAAACTGTAAGCGAGCCACCCCAGTTAAATGTTTTCCTTTATAGGAGTTTCTGTGGTCATGGTGTCTCTTCACAGAAATAAAAAACCCTTATGAAGAAACCAAGGAATCTCAACATGGCTGCCTAAACAAGACCTGAACAATGACAACACCAGTAGACATGCCAGCATGGATGGATAAGATGTTATAAGGCCCATCCCTAGATGAAGAGCTACAGGCAACCAATGGCTGCTGAGAGGGAGAATCAGTCTTCTCCAGGGGTGAGCCCCTGATAGGTACTCACTCCCAAATGGCCAGTCCTAAACAGATACACATATGAGAAATACTAAATGAACTCAGTAGGTTGTATCTCTCTCTCTCTCTCTCTCTCTCTCTCTCTCTCTCTCTCTCTCTCATCTATCTATCTATCCATCTATCTATCTATCTATCTATCTATATATATATATATATTAACAATAATAATTAAAGAAGAGGCTGTGAATTTGAGTGGGAATAGGGGGATGTGAGAGAAGTTGGAGTGGGGGAAATAATGAAAATACAATACTCATGTATGAAATTCTAAATAAAATAAAAAGTCTGTTAAAACATGCACAAGTGAAATAATACTCCTCTAAAGAGGAGACTTGTGAAAATCATGAGACAATGCATGAAGATCAGCCATTCACTCTGTAGCTCACTCTTTAAATGTCTCATTTATATTTACCTCAGTCGGTCATGATTTGGATTTTTTATATATATAGTCTATGTGTGACTGAAAAAACATAACTCTATTCTGATCTATGTATTTGTTCAAGCGGTATCAATCTCTAGTGCTGTCCCTGCCCCTCCCCCCAGAAAAGGAAAATAGGAAATTAACTGGTAAAAGAACTTGTGACAATTCCACCTTTCCCAGAACGCTTATGTCCACAAAACATGCTGATGGTGAAGGTCCCTAAAAAGATTAAAACAAAAGATTAATAACAAAGTAAGAAAGCAGCAGGATCTGGAGAGGCTGGGACATTTATGAACTGCTGGTGGAGAAGTAAAACCACACGGTCATCATGAAGTAGAGGTTCCTCAGAAAAAGAAGGAAAGAAAGAAAGGAAGGAAGGAAGGAAGGAAGGAAGGAAGGAAGGAAAGGAAGAAGCATAGAATTACTATGTGACATAAAAATTCCACTTTTGGTCATATATCCAAAAGAACTGTAATAAAACCTTGGAACATATAATTTGGTATCCTTATTCAATGTACCATTATATACCCATATACCATTCAATAGCCCGATGCTGAAAGCCATCCAAATGTCCATCAAAATAGACAAAGGAGAAAGGAAAATATGCACATACAGGAGAATATTATTCAGCTGTAAGAAGCTGATGTATGCTACAACATGAATGACCCCTAAGGCTAGTACGCCACAATGGAAAGTATGTTATGACTCTACCCACATGAAGCATCTGAATAGTCAAACTCATAGAAAACAATTAGAATGGGGTGTTGCCTTTCCATCGGCACAGAGGCTGCACTTGACTCTGCTGTTTTAGCCAGCAAATGCGGCTCTTCAGGTACTGGCCTGCTTCTCTGGCAGTGGCCTGGCTGCTCAGGCCATGGCCTGGTGGGAAATCTGTTCCTGCAGACACTGGCTATGTCGCTGCCAACAAATATAGCTTTTAATCAAATCTCTATCATTCTATTTTGATTGATAAATATTATTTATCAATAAGACTTGGGAGTCCAATGCTGGGCTGAAAACCTGCTAGCTCCGAGAGGTTGAGTAGCAACTAGCTGACCTTCCTTCCCTCTTTGTCCAAATCTCAGAAAGAGAGTGTCCTGCTCTGCCAAAACAAAAGAACTCATGCTACACTAAGTCCCTCCCTACTACTTCCTGTGTGTCTCTCTATCTATCGTCTTACAGACTCCTATGACTCTCTATGATTACTTTTTGTCAAGTAGTTACTAACTCAGTCTCCTGACCCAAGGTTGATTTTATTTTAATGCAAATGCAAACTTGGGGTTCACAGTGTGATCCAG